CTTGTTAGATTTGATAGGAAATTACTGGTATAATCTAAGGTAGTTTAAAGGATATATAGAGAAACAACTGATAGGGTCATAGTTTAGTGCTGGACATGGCAGTGCTGGGTTAACAGTTGGACTTGCTGATCTTAAAGGTGTTTTCCAGCCTAAATGATTCTGATTTTATACAACGACTTCAAATTATTTAATTACCCTAAGAAACCAAGCTTTAAAAACAAATCACAGTGCCGTTTCTCTATGCCCCAGAGGCATGTTCATTTAACCACTTCAAGGAAGAAATGGAAAAAACAAAGTGCACTTTTCAACAAGAGTATACATTTACATTTTGAAAATATCTATGTTGTTGGAGACAACTGTTCCAGTAGAGCTGTCTGAATGACAGATTTCTTCTGTACACTTGTTTTGTTTAGTATACAAACTACGTGTACCCTATGCATGTAGTATAAAAGAATTAATGTACCAGTAATGTTTTACTTGTACTACAAGTTTATCTCTTCACGGCTCATTCCATTCAGCATTTTGGTTTAGCATTATTTTACAAGTCTATTCATACTAAATCAATCCTCTTACTCAATTTCTATACAGTATGGCAATATCAGTATGTCATGAAATTCATTAGTTGAAATTATAGACTGGGAAAAGAAAATCTTGGGAAAGACTGTGACACGTCTTGTACTAGAATGCTTTCTGTATTATTGCGGCGTAGCTCTTTAGGTTGATTTCTAGAACTCCTAATTTAGGTCTTTGAGAACATGCCTGTGATTGATTGACTCAAATAGCATGATGATGATGTAGATAGCTCCCTGTAATACTTAAATGCTTTCTAATTATTTGATTTTTCCTTAGTACTTAGTAATTACTGCTGGAAGATTCATGTAACTTTTGTTTGAAGAATGTCTCCGCTTCTACACTTGCCCTCCTGCTTCCCAAGAGCAAAGCCTTATAATGAGGCAAATTTTAGTGTTTCAAAGAAAGGGCTTAATATCAAGTTTCATTTAAATACAAGCTCAATTGGGATGTGATTTTATTTAAATATCAACATTTATTAAAATGAAATAAAAAAAATTCAGTTACCAATCCCCAGCCTAAAATTAAGCATCACTTTACTTTTTTGTCTTTTCTCAAGTTTCTTTTAATGTTATGTCCATTTTCTTACTCAGAAAAGTCCTTTTCTGATTCTCTATTTGCCCTTGAGCCAGATTCTTGAAATAACTTGTTAATCAAAAACACTAAGTTTTGAGAAATCTGAGAGTCACCCAGGAGCAGACATTAAGAATCACTTGTAAGATTGCATTTTACTGATACAGTATTTTCATTGGGTTCCCTCTTGTACTGAGTTTGCTTGAGGGAGCTTTTCTATCAAATAAAAAAAAATATTGATATCACTTTTACTTTTCAGATCTGCCTATGTTTTTATGACAGGAGATGATAAAGGAGAGCTAGACACTGTTTAAAATTAAAATTTTCCCATGTTTTGGATTGTCTCATTTCAGTTTTAGACAATCTAATTTACCAAAAACGGAAGAGAGAAACAAAGGGGATTTTATCCATTTAAATTACACAAAATATTGTGAAATCTCCTTCAGAAAGTATGATATGGTTTGAAGCTGGCTCCCTGCCAAGTCTCCAAACCTCACCACAAGAAGTCCCCCCCCAAACCTCAGGGAGAAGAGGAAAAAAAGCCCAAGAGAACCGAAGCGAGGGAGAGACAGCTAAAACAATATATATAAATATATTTACACTTATATTACAGTTATATACAATTGAAATATATATACAATTTCAAAAGGGAAAGGGAAGGGGGAAGGGAAAAAAGAACACAAACAACATAAAATATACACGATCAATAGCCCAAGATGTAGCAACTAAAAGAATTAACAAAAGAATATCTTACTATTCTCCTTGGGACAACAGAAAGTCGCGCTGGAACGACCGCCAGCAAACTCCATCTCCCAAGGTTGGCAAGGCCTTACCAGGCCTCGCTCCCCAACACGGCAGACTCAACAGCAGGGAAACTCGCACCTCCAAGCCACCGGAAGGAAAGAGGCCGAAGGCCTCTCCTCCTTTCTTCTTATACCCCGGCTTATGTAAAAATCGTAGGGAATACCGGGTAAATCTGGGCACTTCCTTGGTTACAAACTGGTCACCAAGGAAGGCGCAGACTAAACTACCACAAAGTACCATGTAATGTGAAAAAAGACAACTTAAATGCATAAAGACTAGAAAAAGATCCACCACCTTATACTTGTCATGCCTAAAAGATCAAGAGAAATACTAATGAATCAGAACAAATCAAAGTTGACACTGTTCAGACACCCTGTCAGAGCAAAGCCAATTAATATTGGAGATAGCATTTTCTGTGAACATTCTAGAAGACAGATTTATTGCATTGTGAGTCCAAATGAACTACTTTGTTATGTAGTTTACTGTTTAGCAAAACAGGTTTAGTTTTGCTCTAATGTCTTTACCCTCCACTCCTTATATATTTTTGAGCTTGGATGGAAGGTAGTAGCTCAGAAACAGCCTCTTCTTGTTTGATCTTGATGGAATGATTTACCTTTAGGCACTTGTTTCCGAACAGTACTCTAGAGATTGCTACACAGATTCCCTTCAAAACTGTTTCGGAAGGAGTAGGAGAAAAAATACTGTAAAATTTCATTTTAAAACATCAATTTAATTTTAAGATATGTCTACTATGTGTATTAAATATGCTTTAATCATATAGACAGTGTATGCTTTCCTCATTTTAAAAAGGTGAATTTGTTTAGCAATTATTAAAAGATAACTAGCCCAGTGAAGAGTGATAACAGTATTTGTGTCAGGGTGTTAATTTAGGATGGAGTCATTATGATGATGATGGTTATAATGGGTAATTCTGTATGCTCCATTTACTTCCACTGAAAAAAAATAAACTTAAAGATTTGTCCTGGTTTCGTCTCAAATAGAGTTAATTTTCTTCCTAGTAGCCAGCATAGTACTGTGTTTTGAATTTAGGATGAGAACAGTGTTGATAACACACTGACACACTAAGTCAAGAACTCTTTAGTTCCTCATAATGCTCTGCCAGTGAGGAGGCTCTGTAGTGTTAGCTGCCTGCTGGGTTAAACCACGACAAGAATGAAGTAGTAGTTAATTTCAGTAAAAGTGAAAGAAGTTGATTGAAAACAATTATGACAAGTTTTATAATTAAAAGATATAAACATAAGTTTATTTTGTATATATATATATATATATATTTATATTTTTATATATATATATATGTCTTATATGTGGAAACATATATTGGCACAGGAACAGGTTGCCCAGAGGAGTTGGGCAGTTTTTAAACCTAAAAGTGTTTAAGGCCAGGTTGAATGGGACCCTGAGCAACTTGGTCTAGTGGAAGGTGTCCCTGCCCATGGCATGGGTGTTGGAGCGAGATGACCTTTAAGGTCCCTTCCAATATAAGATATTCTGGGGAAAAAAAAAAAAAATCCTAATTATTGATTTGCAAATGTTAAATGTATTCATGACTCTTTCCATCCCAGTTGTGTACAGTTCTTAAGGAAGAATGGCTGGAGAGCATTTTCAGAAATCTATATTGAAGAAGAATCTTAAATGAGATACAAAACATTTCTGTTTTGGTACCTACCTCAATTTTGGATACAACTAGTTTATGAAGGAAGCACACATTTTATCCTAAACCTTGCTTTGGGATTAAGAGTCGCTTGGCATCACTGCTGCTGCACAAATAATTGTTTGCATTTTTTCACAACAAATATTTGCTTGGTTTGTTTATACGCAAATACATTACTTCCAGAACATGAATTTCAAAGAGAGATTACCTGGGTCAATTTGAAACATATTTAGTAATCTTTCACCTTCAGTAAGAGAAATTAATCCTGTTGCATTATCAGGAATAAATAGGAATAGAAAGTTTTATTTCTAAAACTAGCTAATCCACCTGGATTCACGCAGCTATCAGTTCTGCTGTCTGGGAAGGTACAGTTTCCTCATAAGCTGTCTGTTGTTGAGTGGATTCATAATGATTTGAATCCCAGACACATCATTCCACCAAGTCTTTGAAATGAGATCATTATAAGTCTTGGTTGCCTGTAGCTTGAACAGCTCTAGTAAGAGAGCTGTTCTGTGCAGATAAAAACAAATTTTCCTCCCTTATATGTTTTCTGGTTTATAGAGAGGAATCTTAACAAAACGAACTCTCTACCTCAAAGGAATTCTGTACGATTGTCCTCTTTTTGTTTTCTCATCTATTTCCATTTAAGATATTAATTTTATAAGCTGGTATAGCAATATCTCCAGGGAGGCAAGCAGATCTGCTGTTTCAGTATGTTTGATTAACTCTGTAGCTTAAGGTTTTTGCTGGCCACTAGTAGACAGATGAAGGACATGGTTTATTGTGTTTTATTGCAAGATGGTGAAAATTCTTTCGTGACCACAGAGGATACGGGAAATAAATGAGCTGGAACCTTTTAAATTCACTGTTCGTTGAGCAGGGTCTCTTCAGGGAATGGTCTATCTAAAGAGTCACTGCCTGTTAAACACAGCTTTGAACTGAGAAAACATTATTAACAATGTGTAAAATACTATCTATAATATGTTTTTAGTTACTCGAATAAGAAGTAATATGTAAGCTGACTTCACAAAAGGAAAATTCAGTGTGTTTAACTTAAAGGCATAACACCGTTGTTTGTAGACTTCTGACTACAAGTGTAAGCCAGTGCTGAATGTGATGTACTGTGTCCTCTGTTCTGATCTGTCTTTAACCTCTTGAACAAGAAAAAAAGAAAAAAAATTGAAAGAAGGGGGGAAATGAAGTGATAAAAAAGCCAATGTAGTAATTTTTCCATCTAGACAAACACAAAGCACTACTAGTCTAGAACTATATAAATGATTTAGGAACACCTGACTGAGCATCTAATTTTCATAGTCTTTTTTATTTTGAATTAAGTTACAGAAATGTGCACTCTGTGTACAAATGGTTATATTTCATCAAACCTCCAAAGCAGCATTCTTTATTTTCATTCTTTTATTTTCAGTTTTGTTCCCTAGTAAAGGAACGGAAAACCCAGTAAAATACTTCGTAGTGAATACATCTGTAGCTCTTGCAGTCTTGGGAAATACTGCTTATGCTGTAGGTTTGTTAGTGTTTCTTGTGATCATTAAATATTTTTCCTAATCTAGGCAGAACTGAAACAGTCATTTTCTTACTAGCACTTTGCAGGAAGGTAAAACAACATGAGCTCAATGTTTTGTGTTTAAGCAGATGAGGGTTAAAAAGTTCACAGCTAAAGCTGTCAAATAGGCACAGTTTTGGTGCTGAAGAGATCAAAGTAAAAACATAGCTCTACTTCCTCACCACCACCTCTCTGCCAAGGCTCCCACGTTTGCCAGAACAGTCTCCCAACTTTGCAGCTGTACTGCTGCTACACATGACTGGAGCAGCTGCTGTCTTGGCTGAGCTGGGCTGAGTAGATTTGAGCTGAGTATCTTGGCACTTTTTTATATATAGGGCTGTTTGGGAATCACAGAAATGGTATCCTGGCAACTGAAATATTAGAAAATTCTGTATAGTAGATGAACTGTAGAGAAGCCTAATGCAGACTGACAGCATTGTTTTAAAAGACATTTTGCTTAGGTTAAAAGGGGAAAAAACAGGGCAACCAACAACCTGTCAGAGGAAATAGGAGGACATCATGATATTTGCTTTATATTATAATATAGTGCAGTTAGAATGTTTCCCAAGGAAGCCAAAACTGGAGATTCAGTCTTACATCCCAGGAGAATATTTCAATGACTAGCTGATTTTCAGATTAATGGCGATATCTAAATCACTTTTCTAGGTAAAATTCTTGTTATTCTTGATTTCTGTTTTAGAAAGTCTGTGCAGAAATTATTTGAAAACTTCTGGATAAAACAGCAAGAAAAATTTTATTTCCTCCCCTTACATATTTTTAAAAAAGCCAATGGAATTATGACTTGACTATAAAATAAGCATTATTCAGAAAGAGTATATAAAAGGGTTTGGGTTTTTTTTTTCTGAAATTATTTGTTTAGGGTGAATTCTTACCTTTGTAGAGGAAAACACTTTCAAGTAAAACTATTAAGTAAGTAAAAACTCTATCACTAAATATATAGTTTGGTATCTAAAAATGTTGAGAAAAACTGATTTGTATTTACACATATCAGTGCTCAGACTGTGTGTCAGGAATTTAAAGTTGTGCTCTTACGTGCTGTGTGAAGCCAAGAGTAAGAGAGTCATTGGTTTAAGTTTAGAGTTAAATCGTTGTTTTTCAGAATACCTTCCAGGAGTTCAGTTCATCTCATTGGAAAATAGATTGCTAAGATGGGTTATATGGTTTGTCACTTAGAAGGGATCAGTAAAGGAATGCTCAGGTCACAAACTTGAATATAAATATCTACAAATGGGTGAGGTGATGATAACCAGTTCAGCCCTGCTAACTTTTTAATGTATCAGCATCACTGAGCTCTCCAAGACTGCTAAAAACTACTATTGTTTTTTGAATGTTATTATTTTAAATTATGGTCTGCTATTGTTCTGAACCATAATCTAAACATTTATATAGTCTTTGCTGAAAACAGACTAAAGAAAATGCATTTACATTGCCATTTTTTATCTTTACTAGGAAACCCGGTTCGATGACCATCATCATGTTGCAGTGGCACTCGGGAAACAGACGGGATTTCTGCAAAAGGATTCTGATGTAAGAAATTATGAAACAATTTCAGGTCTTGTTAATCATCTGAACATAAACTTATTCTCATGCTGTAGCTAAAAATGTGTTATCTCCGATTTAGGGCCAAGGAAAATGCTTATCTTAAGCACAGTTTTAACCAGAACCAAGCAGTATTACTGAACTGTTTCCTGTAGTTATATTGTGTCTGTTTCAGGAGAGGTCTGGGAAGGAGAAATGCTTTCAGAGGACAGCAACAGAAAATGTCAGATCTGGAATGCAGTGATCAGTGTGTTCATTCAAGAGAAGATTAAGTGATTTTTGTCACAGCTTGCTAGTACTCATGTGGGAAAGATGGTCTTCACAGAGGGAAATGGAGACAGTGAACCAATCTGAACTTGCTAAACTTGTATGACACCTCACCAAGTTGATTTTGATGGGGGGACTGTCAGTGCATGTATCCCGGAGCAGATCCATTGCTCAAACACCATTATGACAAGATAACCCTTGAGACAAGCAACAACAACCAACAGATGGGAAGAACAGCAGTGTTAGTCTTCATTCCATGTGGTGTCTATTGAGAGAAGGAACAAAGCTACTTAAAAGCTTTTCAGGATTTTCTGTGCAATTTAACAAAGATCTCAGTCATAAAATAGCAATAGAAGTCAAAATTAAGGGAGAGACAGACTGGCAAGTTGTAGCTGAAATAGCCAGACAATCAGAAAAGGAGAGTGTGACAAATTGCCGGACTTTTTCTGTGGTGTTTTAATTGCTCACAAGAAAATGGGTTAATTGTTTTCTGTTATTTAGATACAAAGGTTCTACCAGGAACTAGAAAAAACGTAGTGTAGGAATGGATAAAAGTACAAAAGTGGTAATGCACACATCTGTCATGGTAATAAAGTCTGTCTGTGTTCATGAATAACACAAAGAGGCAGACCTTTTAACTAGTATTGGGTAGGTTAAAAAGAAAAAAGAGGTATAAGCTGCTTTTGGGGTTTTACTGTGTTAAATCAGTGTACAAATACTATTTTAAGAAAATACGTTCAGTCTGCTAGACAGGGCATACTTAAGTTCCCAGTAGGATGGCATATCATTCTTCTGACAAGAATACTGATAAATGCAGTCTGAGGTGAAAAGAAGATGGCCATTATTTATAAAGACAGCTACCTAAGTATTCTACAAAAATCCAGGATTTTTAAGTGTTGACCTTCACCACCACTGTCACATACCTTGAAGTTATCATAGGAAGAATAGTAATGATATCAAGAATTATGATGAAAAATCTTTGAATCAAGAGAAGTCTCAAAAGCGTACTTGTCCACTGACTAAATTTCTGATGGCCTGAATTTTATTATCTCAATTCACTGAAAAAAGGTCGTTTTAAGCAGGATTAGTGAGCATCCTATGACTCCCCAAAATAAAAATTAAGTGAAAATTTATATACTATTGCATTGTACGTTTTTAGGCCTCCTCCTAACAGGAACATGAAGGAAATGAAAATTACCTTCTCTCTATGTAACAGAACTGTAAAAAATTATTTTGTTTTAAATTTCTTGCTAGATGTGTTGAGAGAAGAAGTTGTTCATCCTTGTTAAATACGTGCAGTTGTTCCAGGATGTCAGTGTTTGAATTTGTTCCCCCTCTGCAATCACAGGAATAATTCATTATGTCCTGTTTGCAGAACATGTACGTTCAGCTTTCTTCCTGTACTGATAGCAAGTACCTACAATTCACAGGAAAGACCGTTTCATTACATTAATGAAATGTATCGTTACATTAATGTACTATAGTGAAAAATCTCTAGTGTCAAGAATCTTTACAAAGTGTCTGCTAGTGACTGCTATATGCTTTAAGAAACAGAACATGTATCTGCACTGTTTACTGAGATCTAGACAGTTAATCTGTGGCAAATCTCAATGAAAGAGATTATTCTTTATAATTCCTATGTAGGCTATAAAATATCTTTTTGTCTGTCACTTGCTAAATTTCATAAGATTTGAGATGAATTCAGTCAGAACACACTTGCCTTCAGACAAGCATGCGCTGAAGTTCAAACTATATCTGTTAACAACTTGGCTCTGAGGCTTAGTTCATGTTAGGTATGCATCTGTGATGTCACTTGCATGACTCTAGGCACAGTTCCTGCAGCTTTACCTCATCTCCAAAATGTCAGATGAACAGGAATGTCTCAACACTATGTCATTTGTGTAAGGACATAAAGTGACAGCCAGCTCAATAACTTCTGGTTTCAGTCTGTATTGACAACTTAGAGTTTTTCTGTGCTGTTACAACAAGCAAAACCCATTTTGTTGTCTCTGCATTTATTCCTAGCAGTAGCTTACTGCTCAAACACTGAAATGGAGACTAGACCTTTTTGCGCTTTTACCTATTTACTGACCCACCTTCATTGATGTGACAGAAAGGGACTACAAAATCCTCAAAATAGACCTTAGATGGGATCATCTGCAGCACTGGTACATGAGCAAGAAAAGGCCTACAAAGTACAATTATGAACACATTCCCCAACCTTTCTCCAGGAACTCAACATGCTGGGGTCCCTTTACAGTGCCTGTACACTAGTCCAAACAATATGAGGAATAAAGTATCATCTCTGGAAAGGTGGCAGAGCAGCTAATTCTGGAAACCATTTCCAGACACAGCAAGGACAAAGAAATCATCAGGACTGGTCAGCATAGCTTCACCAGGAGAAAGTCATGGTTAGTAAACTTCTGCAATGAAATGACCGGCCTGATAGGTGAGGAGAGGGCAGTGGATATTGTCCTCCTATGTTTCTACCTCTGGCACTGTCTCTCAGAAGATCCTCCTGGAGCAAATGTTGATATGTGTACTGGGTGAGCAGGCAGTAGGTGTATTGAAAATGGGCTGAACAGCTGGGGCCAGAGCATAGTGATAGTGGTAGAAGGTGTGGTTGGAGGCCAATAACTAATGATGTGCTCCAGTGATCAAAACTGGGTCCAATCCCATTTAACATCTTCATTAATGAAACTGGATGATGGTGTAGTGCGTCCTCAGCGGGTTTGCTGGTGACACCAAACGGGGAGGAGTGGCTGATATGCCAGTGGGTCATGCTGCCACACCAGAGGGACTTGGATAGGCTTAGGCTGCGTCAGACGTGAGTCAGTTTGTGTGATGTACAGAGTACTCCCACTGCAGAGGAGCCCTGCTGAATCTTATCAAATATTAAACATTAAGAATATGTTGTTTGAGCAAATGCCAATTTAGAAGAATCAACCGTATTTATGATGGATTCATGCAAGCTGTACTATTTGCCCTGCCGTCTGGGAACAACTTCACTTGGAGAAGGCATATACAGCAGGCTGCACAGTAACATGTGCTCAAAAAAAAACCCAAATCTTTTTTTCTTTGAAACATGATTTTTCTCGGAGGGATGAAACTAACATGGAAACCATGACACTCTCATCTCCAATATCTCGGTCTGCATTTAATGTGGATTTAACATGGGGAATGGCGGGTTAGTTGTGACTACTTTAGTTCTTAAGTAGCGTTTGAGTTTGAGAGAGGCATGCACAACCATGAGGATTACTGGTATTAAAAAGAGTATGAATAGGCACACCTCTAGTGGAATAAATCCTCATGTACTTGTCTCAAATAATCATATCTAGTGGAGAATGAAGTACAGTCTGTTTGATGGTGATCTTTGTCTTTCTTTTTTACTGGACTTAAACACTCTGTCGTACTCACAGCATTCTATAGCCCTCATTCTGTCAGTTTCGTGAACTTGATTGTGAAGGAAAAACTTGATTTTTCTGTGTGGTCTGTCAAATGCTTCTGTTAGTTAATACATAGCCTAAATTAGGGGCAGTGACACTAGTCTCAAATGCAGAATATTTCCTTTCTTCTCCAGTAAGCAGTGTGTAGTTTAAACTGGACAGAGAATTTTACAGGAAGGAAATTAATGCTTATTGATTTGTGTTATGCTAATATGTGTTTCCTTTAGGTACGTTCCATGGAGCCTAACCCACCACAGTTTACGTTACTGACTTTTGAAGATTTAGTTGCATCTGGTATTCCAGTTGCACCTGAGGATTCTACATATTGGGACAACTTTTGTTCAAAGCAGGAGAGTCCAGTGCAACAGAGTTCACATTCAAGATAAAAATGCTTATAAGAAAAAGAAAATTGTTGAAGATTTCGTGCTGTTATTCTGCATAATTCCAAGTATGGGAATAAGTGCATGTGTGTAGATGAAGTGTGTTTTTCATTATTTAAATTAACAACTTGATTTTCACCTTTTCAAAATTGATGCTTTATCAGAATCTTAAGGAAGATACAAGTTTCCTTGTTTAAGGAATTCTGAGTGAAAAGCCTAAGGTGACCACATGCTTTTTTGCATCTCCTTGATGGTGGTTCTCACACTTTGATAAATATCCATGCTAAGAACAGAAAGCAGACCTACAATAATGTTGTTCATTAGTCAACAAGTGTTTAGTATATAAAAATGTGTTTCCATACTTCATTTTTGCTGAAGCTTAAATTATGATACTGCTTTTTCTCTTACAAATATAACGGGTTTATTCTCAGATGAATGAATAAAACCAGAAAAATTGGTACAAATGAACTGCAAATATGGGGTGAGATGAATAGAGAAATTTCAGATCTAGATTTCTGGGGATAAAGGAATAAATTTCATATTAGAGATTAGTTATTTCTGCATAGAATCAGTGTCTCCAACCAGAATTTTTCTGTCATTGGAAAGAGTTTTAAAAGTATTAATGAAATTATTTATAATACCGTGCTTGCATCCAAGGAGAGGACAAACCAATTTTATTAAATTAGAAAATTGCACTTGGTTTGCTTGCCAGGAATATGATAGTTTTCAGAACTGTATCTAAATAGAAAGGTTACAAAACCAAAGGTGTTTGTTTTGGTTAGTTTTCCATGAAGTAAAATCATAGTTTCCAGTGATTCAGACAGAATCATGGAGAAGATTGCAGTTACTCACGTTATGATTTTTTCCAAGTCTTTAATTTACACTGAACTATTTGAAAAGTAAGACTAATCTCCTTTTTAATCTTAGATAGCAATGAGATTAGTTGATGGCAATGACTTGTGAAAAGCCACTTGAGTCATGTTGTTTCATGTCAGTGCAAGTGGACAGTATTGTTACACTTCCTTTTACTGCTGTGAGAAAGAGCAGTTGGATAGTTGTGGAATTACCAGCTAAAAGCATGCTGCTAAAAGACAAGCAGGACATTCAAACTCCTTATGAATATGAATGATCCTTCTTGAAGTCATCAGAAATTTTTCCGGGCATCTGTGGTGTGGAGGCCCATCTTGAAACAAGTGCTGTTTGTGTGTACAGATAAATTAATCTCACAGTTCTAAGATTAATGTTTGGGGTTTTTTTATATTTCACCATCACACTTTTCACTGTTATAAACATAATTGAGCCCTATATCCAGACATGGCCATAACACTGACTTCCTTGCATTTCCTCACAATACGATCTTAATGGCTACAGGGTTCCTCTGCCGTTTTAGAAATACTGGTGTCCAGCACAGCTCCAGCTTCCTGCACTAGTTTAAGTTCTTGGCCCAGTCCAGTGCAGGTGAGCTGACCTTTGCTGTCTCCCATCATTCTTCTGCAAGAAGTGTACCAGTTACATCTAGAAGCCTTCAGGCCTTTATGTTCTCCAGAGCTCCATTCCTTCATCTGTTTTGTTTTCTAGATACTGTCCTTGGCATGACCATACTACATACCTGGGTCCTAGAGGGTAAGAAGCTGCAAAATCACAAGCTCTGTGCTACATGAGCCTTTTCCAGCAGGGTCTTGGCCAGGTAGTCTTTTTCACTGTGGAACAGGATTGCCCAGCCTTCCTGTTTCTCAAAGTAGAGATTTAGATCACATCTGCTGGCCTAGACTGTGTATCAACCCAGTGTTTTCTGAGAAGTACTTGTTAATGGTCTCTGATCTAAAAATAGTTTTAAAAGTTTTGGTCTTCAGTGAAAAGATTGTCCAAAGGGAATAAATGTGGTTTAGTTTGGACCCTGAGATTAGCTCAGTCTGGTTAGAACATGGTGCTAACCCATGGTTGTGGGTTCGGTCCCTGCTGTACAGGCCATTCACTCTGTGATCCTGGTGGGTCCCTTCCAACTGAGAATATTGTGTGCCTCTGTGATTATATTACCGTGTTCAAACCTTTTTGTGTCTTGCATCAAAATCGTCAGAGTGGATTAGGAACTTCAGGGGGCAAAACTGTGTTCAAGGCAATTTGCGGTTATGTGACAAGAAACTGGTGCCATTTGATATGAAAATCTGTAACTTTGAAAAGTGGATCATGAGAATTCACTCCTAGCCTTTTACAGAATCTGTAAACTTACACAAGATGCATATTATTACTATCTTATGGGATCAAATGCACTGATGTGTTATCTTAGACAAGAAATCATAGATGCTGCAACAGAAGTAGTGTATATATGATTGTAATATATTGTATTTTTGGTAAAATCCAGGCAACAGCTAAACTTTAAACAACCATCTTGACCCGAGACACTGCAATAAAGCAATGATCAGCAAAGAAGATAGGAAAAGATAGTTATACAAGTCAGCATAGACTGCCTCTTTGTTGGAGCTTTACAAGATTATGGTACTGCATTTTACAAAGAAGATAAGTGGTTCTTGGTTCAGAATTGATACAACCAAGTCTAAAAGAGCCTGTCCTTAACTGCCTGTCCTCCTTAACTGCTGGCTAATTCTGCAGGTGTCTTGACATCCTGATATGTGCTTCATTATCCTCCAGAATACAGATAGTTTGGCTTGCTCCACTCTGTATAGAAAACATAAGCGTGAAAATAAATTTTAAATTCTCAAGAGAGAAAACAATTTAAAAATGTTTTGTTTTTTCTTCAAAAAGTCACTTTTTGTAAGATATTATTTTCTTGTGGTGTACATGCAGTTTTTTATGGCCAGATGCTAAATATGAATCCTGTTTCTTCTAAGATTAAGTATAGTTTCTTAACTGAAATAAAAAGTGGGTTATTTTGTGTTTGTGTTGTCTATTTGTGGTTATTTTTTTTTATCTTGCTGTTATTTAGATCCAGACATAGGTGAGATTACTGAAACACTTGTCTTGCAGTCCTCTGCTATTTTGGAAACAATTCATGGGACAAAACTGTATATTCTTAATAACATCCTTTGGATGAATCATGATTCAGAGGTCTGGATCAGCTGTCCACTCCTTGGCTCCTTCTACAATTTTAATTGCATAACGTGCGACGCAGTTTCTTGGCATAACTGTGACAGAATTCTATGTTGGAGTGAGTGTCTCATCATTTGGTTGAAACTGCAGTAGTGTGAAGCTTAATGCTCGTAAGAAAGATACACATTTTCAAGTACAAGGCTGCACAGTGTTGCTTACACATGTAAGGAGATATCTGAAGATTTGTTTTTTAATTATGACATAGAACACAAAAGTTCTTTAGGTTGTAGTAGGAGCTTCACACAGAAAAAGAACTTTTACTTGCACAGTGATGTAAACAGGAAGAAAATGGGTATTTCAGTTGAAATGCATGTTTTGTTCTCCAACATGTAGAGTACTTAAAAGGTTGGCCATACTTCCTTTTTAGATACATCCTAGGGATTTAGGTGTGCCTGTTGACATCTGGAGCAGGCTTTGGGCAGAAAGCTAACACCAAGACTCCCAGCAGATGCAATTCCAGATCTATAGGCAGTACCAGAACTTGGAAAGGCAGATGGAGCTTTGGTAAATAGTAATGTTCTTATGAATGGCAAAACTGTAAAGAGTTTGGTTGAGGGCTTATTTCAGGTTCGTGTTTTTAGGCTTTCAGTGTTGTAGATGTACAAATGTCTCACTTTGAATTTGGTAGTTACCTCATAAACTTATTCAGGCATTTAAGTCTAGTCCGATATTTGATAAGGGCACTGAGATTTTCATTACAAACTTGCCTTTTTTGTTAAAACGTCTGAATTAGCTGGTGCATCAATTTTGTCCTGTTTCTGTGTGTGTTGGTGTGCCTTGTGCTGTGCCCTCAGTACCACAGGACCTGTAACACATCTGAGGTTCCTTTTGATGTCGTAAGGTCCATTTGGTTTTTCTTATTTTCCTAATTTTATAAGCTTTATAAGTAGTTAAGTAGTAGAAGTAGGTTTTAGAAGCTGCAGCCCTTATTCCTCACCCTTTAGCACCCTTTAGTTTACACATTCCTCAACCCTCTCACCCCATTCTATGTTCCATATCAATCCTATCCCTGAATTCCAGTAGAAAATGTTTAATCTTTTGTCAAGGCAAGGCCTATGCTGTTTAGAGAACACTTATGTCTTGACCCGAACCACAGAACACAGTCAGGAACAGGTGACCGTGTACCCTTTATGCTCTGAAGAAGGTGAAGATGATGAAGAAAAGCCCCCCGACCCAATTCCCAAGGGGTGGACCAGAGCAAAGGCTACGGGGTGGAAACACTTGGGATTGGACAGATAGTATTATAAATTGTAACACCTGAACACGGCCGGCACGCGCGTCTTGTAACATCTATGCCTAGGCACAAATTAAACCCTTTTCTTATCCTCAATTAACTGCTCCGGAGGTTTTTTTTCCTCAGCACCATGAGGTATCACTTTTGCGGCAACAACTTTCAGTGGGGCTAGTCCCAGTGTGATGAAAATTCCTGCTGGCAGGTTGGTGATGCTGAGCTGAGAAGAAAATGTTTTGGTTCTATTACCAAACCCTAGTAAATTAAAGGAAAATATGAATATGGGAGTTATATGTTAAGACTTTAACATTGTACTGCAAATAATAAGTAGTAAATGTAAAAGGCAAAGTGCGTTAATGCTAACTTTTAGCTCACAGAAAGAAGTTCTTAGTTCTGCTTTGCACTAAAGTCTCAAAGCAGCTGAAATTATTTCAATCCGTTTAACTCGGTTTCTTTTTTTCGCCTCAAGGTTAAATAGTAGTATCCATATTACACACTTCAGAGTTCCTGTTAAGATTTCCCAACTATCTTGTGAGTTTCCCGTGTCGCGGTACCTTAATGTTTCCAGCCTTGGTTCATCGTTCTAAAAAATTTCTTTCCTTTAATCTTGAAATAGGTTGAAGTTGACTTAAGTAGCCAGTTACACACATTTAATCCATGTGAATCTGTGATGACAGACAGAAAGCAGGAACTTAGCCTGCCCCTGAATTTACATACAGGTCAGCCACTTGCCCGTTCTCCTGCTCGACCATGCCCTGTG